TTTAGTATTAGTATAACCCAGAATCATTCTTAGCCTCTGAACAATATGCAGCGGAGAGTGTTAAGAATTGTTGGGAGAGGAGTCCCACATTGGCTAATTAAAGGGTTGATCATGGGTTTATAAGTAAGGAATACATCTCCATGGTATGAGGCCTTTTGGGGAAACCAAAAACAAAGCCATGAGAGCTTATGCTCAAAGTGGACAATATCATACCATTATAGAGGTTCGTGATTCCTAACAGAGAGATGATTATTATATATCTTGTAGTCGATCATTCTTAGCCTCGGAACAATCTGTAGTGGAAAGATGGTCATTATATATCTTGTAGTCATGTTTTTGGGGAAGCATCCATGCCGGATGTTTGCTTGTGCATTGCATTCTTTGTCTAAGATTTGTTATTTTGTCTTTACAGTGGCAGAGATCAGTTGCTACCCAGTATCGAGGAAGGTGGAAGGCTTCATCAGTTTTTGCCAAAATGTGAGATTCGAAGATTTTCCAACAATGGCCATTTTCTTTTCTTGGTAGGACACCATTTTCCCTGTATAGAACTCAGCTTTAGATTATTTTTTAATATTTTATGATAATTAAATAACATAATTCTGCTAGTGAATGCATGGCAGGAGGATGGTCTTGATTTGGCTGCTACAATCAGGGGTGCTGGTTTCTATCGCCGTTCACAATACGTGGATTATGTTTCGGATTTCATCCCACCGTCGGCTGCTGAAGTCAGAAATATATTTGAGAACTTTAGGTGATTACACTTCGACACAAACTTCCACAAATATTTTTCTGTCACTTATTTTCTACTATTTGATAACGATGAGAGTGCCAGTCAGTTCCTATAGTTTACTGTCTACGTGAAGGTATTGTGATATCAAATTTGTTGGTTTTGAGAATTTTAAGAATAATTTATGATGTTTCAGAATCTATTGCTTAATTCATGAAAATTTTAGTGACCAATCATTGTAAACAACTTTGTTTTTTTCTAGTTTTATAACTTTTGCAACTAGTCCCGTGCTGCTTTCAACTCTAGAAGATGGGGAAATTGTGAGGGGACTCGCAGGTATTCCTGAAGAAGGTCCTGTCCTCTTGGTTGGGTATCATATGCTATTGGGACTCGAATTGGCTCCCATGGTAGGCCAGTTCTTCAAAGAAAAGAACATAATCTTACGAGGGATGGCACATCCTATGCTATTTATGAAAATGAAGGAAGGAAGTTTACCTGACTTAGCAACCTATGATTCGTTTAGAATGATGGGGGCAGTTCCTGTCACTGCCAAGAACTTCTACAAACTTTTATCTTCCAAGGCTCACGTCTTATTATATCCCGGAGGCATGCGTGAGGCTCTACATCGAAAGGTAAGTTGACTGACAAATTGAAGGCACTCGTTTTGTCTCTCAAGTCACATTAATAGGTTTCTTCTGCTTAATTGACACGATTTTAATTCTCATAATGAGTTTGTTCAACACAAAACATACCGTTTATTTGACTCTCTTTCTATATAGGGAGAAGAATATAAGCTATTCTGGCCGGAGGAATCAGAGTTTATTCGGATGGCTGCTCGGTTTGGAGCCAAAATTGTACCTTTTGGTGTTGTGGGAGAAGATGATATTGGTGAAGTACGCTCCTCCTTCCCCATAACCTGCCATTTTCTTTAACCATCCTTCGCTTTCTTTCACTTTTCCCTACCTCTGGTCCAGAGAAGTTGATAACTTCATGTGTTTGGTCATCTATATATTCAAAGGATTTGGCCACAGTAGCTATACTAGCATCATCAGACCTGTAACAGTCCAAGCTTACTGCTAGCATATATTGTTCACATTGGCCCGTTATGTATTGCCATCAGCCTTACAGTTTCTAAATGCCTCTACTAGAGAGAAGTTTCCACACCCTTATAAAGAATGTTTAGTTCTCCTCTCCCAATGGTATTAGAGACAGACACCGGGCAGTGTACCAGTGAGGACACTGGCCCCCAAGGGGGGTGGATTGTAAGATCCTACGTCGACTCCTGGAAACCTCTCTCTAGTAGATGCGTTTTAAAAACCGTAAGACTGATAGCTATACATAATAGATCAAAATGAACAATATCTGAACAATATCTGCTAGCAGTGGGCTTGAGCTCCAAAATGTTGTCTCAATTATGTTCTCTTTTGATTTCATTTGTCACCAGGTGGTTTTTGATTATGAAGATCAGATGAAAATCCCAGTCCTTAAAAAAAGAATAGAGGAACTAACCAACGAAGCAGTGAGATTGAGGTTCATTTTGTTCTCATCCTCTTAAACGTTCTCTCTTCATAAACGCGTTATCACTTTTCGTGCTCGGATATTTTTCTGAACGATCTCTGTTTCGACAGGGCTCATGTGCATGGCGAGGTTGCAAACCAAGATGTCCACTTCCCCGGAATTCTCCCTAAACTTCCTGGAAGATTCTACTATTACTTCGGAAAGCCATTCGAAACCGAAGGTACATTTACGTTTACTAGAAGAATCTGTTCTCTTGATGTTGTGCTTGGTTAACTTGTGATAAACACTTCAATTGTTGAACATATGAAGGGCGGAAAGAGGAGCTACGAGACAGAGAAAACGCTCACAAACTGTATCTTCAAGTAAAGGGTGAGGTGGAGAACTGCCTTGCATACTTAACAAGTAAAAGAGAGAACGATCCTTACAGACAGCTATGGCCTCGTCTAGCTTATCAAGCTAAGCATGGGTTTACGTCTGAGGTTCCTACTTTTAAGTTCTGACTGTTCCATGCTTGTTGGTGAAAAGCTGACCCTGATGGCCTATTTGGTGCTCTTCTTTTTCAGGTAAAAACTATTAAGTCCATGTCTGTTGTTATTAGGATTTTTTCATACAGTGTTATTTTGTGGATGCAATTTTTATTCATTTCCTGAGGAAAAGAAACAAGCCTTTAGTGTGGAGACCTTGTATTCATCTATCACTCTTGCTTTAACTGCAAAATAATCAGATATAATTGATTTTATCTGTTTTTTTTTAATCTTAGTTATAGAAGAATTGATATGTTTGTGGTGGATGAAAGTTCCATGTCGGCTAATTTAGGGAGTGATCATGGGTTTATAATCAAAAAATACTATCTCCATTGGTTTGAGGTCTTTTGGGGAAGCCTTGCAAAACTACGAGAGCTTATGCTCAAAGTTGACAATATCATATCATTGTGAAGAGTCGTATTCATTTAACATGGTAGCTATGTCAATAGAATTCTCAAATGTCGAACAAAGTATTGTGAGCCTCGAAATCATAGTGAAAAATGACTAAGACTCCAAAAGAAAAGGAGTCGAGTCTCGATTAAGGGGAAGTGTTAGATGAAAGTTTCACATTGACTAATTTGAGTGGACAATATCATACCATAGTGGAGATTCAAAACTGATTCTGTTTTGCATTGTCTTCATAATAACTCAAAGAGCTTTAGGAAAAATCTTCCCTGGTAGCTATTATTCTCAGGCGATCGATGTGTAGGAGACCGAGAGCCTTTCATTCCCTCTTTGGTAATGTCTTTGTAACAACTCAAACTCACCGCTCGCAGGTATTATCCTTTGGTTCATTACGTATCATCGTCAGCATCACAATTTTAAAACGTGTTTACTGGGAATATATTTTCACATCCTTATAAGAAATGTTTCTTTTCTCACTCTAACCGATGTGGAATCTAACAATCCACCGCTCTTGGAGACCCAACGTCTTCGCTCGCTCACTACGTTGTTCGGTTGTGATACCATTTTTAACAACTCAAACTCATCGCTAATAGATATTGTCTGCTTTGACCTGTTATGTATCGCCGTTGATCTTATAATTTTAAAACGTGTCTACTAGGGAGAGGTTTCACACTCTTCTAGTTCGTTTTCTCTCCAACCTACTTGAGATCTATCCTGCCCAGAAAGAAACACAATTATAAGGCCCGCAGCCCTTTTCCCTCTTTTGGTTTCTTCTGATATTTAAATTGATTTGCACTTCTCAATCGTAAAATTATTATAAATAATAATTTAATTATGAACAAAAATATGTTTTTAAACTATAAAAATTAAATTATTATATAATTAAAGAAGCAACACTTAATTTTGATAAAAAAAAAAAAATTAGGATAAGTATAGTTACAAATTTTAAAGTATATAAATTAAATAGTTATAAATTAAAATCTATGAAAGACTATAAAATCGTTTTTTGACCTAAAATATGAAGATTTCTTCTAAATATTGAAAACTCATTGAATGATGACGGATCTCAAAAGGATGAACAAATATCTTAACTCTTAAGATATGCTCGTATTAACCTTAGAACTCATATCAACTAAATATCTTTTCATTTAATTATGTAACGAACTCGGTTAACTCTTTACAAACAAAAACTAATGAGAATGTAAGCGTTTGGTCCTGGAATCGTAAATTAACGGTCCAAGTGTAAATGAACTATTCCCATTTTGGGATGAAAATATTACATTATTTTGAATATTATGATATAAAATCTTTGAGGACTTTACGTTTTAACCAATTAAGCTAGAGTTAGACCTAGTTAGACCTTGATTCGTACGACTTTTGTGTTTACAACAAACGTCATTATGTCAGTTTTTAGAAAGACCTACCAATACGAAGGCTCGTTTGAACCAAATAAAAAGGAACAAAAAACAAATAAAATCACTCACTTCAATGGATAAAGATCATAGAATAGAAACATGGAAATATGAAATAAATACATAAATATATTTAAAAGAAAATGAGAAAACCATTAAAAAATATAAGGAAATAAAAAAAAAAGGTTGTAAAAGTGAAAATATAGCATTCGATTCCATAGAGAGATCTTCTAATTGTCCGAACAGTTTCTCAACTTCAACCACTAAACAAAAACCACCACGTGTCTTTAATATTCACATCTCTCCCACTAAACCAAAAAAAGGAAACGGACTCCGGTCCGCCGCCGTGGAATTCCAGAACCACCAAAACAAAAACAAACAGCCGCCGGAGAATCGTACGAGAGTACCGGAGATTTATAAGCGAAGAGTGAGATCGATGGTTACATGTTCAACGGCGGTATCGACGTTCGGAGAGAGAGCATCCGGCGAGGCCGAGGCCGAGGCGGTGGTTGTGGTGGTGGTGTTAGCACTGTAGTGATTCTGATTAAACCAATGCTGGCCGAGAAAATCAGCCGGAGCCGGAGTCGGAGTAGGAGCTGGAGCAACCGTGTAAGGCTGCGGAAGATGGTGGTGAGTCATCGTCGTCGTCGTCGGCTGCGGCGGAAGCGAACCGAGATGAAGAATTTCAGAGGCGAAAGCCTTACGAGAGGCGGCTCTTTCTCTCTTGTGAGCGTTTTGGTGGCCGCCTAGGGCTTGAGAAGTGTAAAATTTGCGAGGGCAGTAAAGGCATGGAAAAATGCGAGAGGAAGAGTATTGAGACTGGAACTTTCTCGAAGCTTTGGGTGCAGAATTTGAAGCGGTTGTTGTTTGGGTGAGGAAGTCGTAAATGGCTGGGTCCGCCATTGATGAGAGCTTTCAAAAACCAGAGAAAATGAGCTAACCACAAAGATGGATAAACTGGGGATATATACACATACATATATATAAGAGAGCAAAACTGATTAGAGGAATGATATTACCAATGATTTGTTAATCTAGGTTGGACAATATTGCCCTCATACATGTCTCCAATTGTTGGAGCAAAAGAGAGCATATCTCGATCGGGAGAGAGAATCGAGAAATACCATATTACCCAGTATATCTGTCAAGCCAAGATGTGGTATAGGTTAACCCAAAATGCATCTGGTCTGCTTTGACCCATTACGTATCACTGTTAGCATACCACATCATCTAGTGCCTGGCTACGATACCATTTGTAACAGTCCAAACCCTTAATGCCCCTTTTGACATCAAAGTCCTTGTTGGGACACCACACCGTCTCGTGTCTGACTCTGATACTATTTGTAATATCTCACAATCCACCTTCTTGGAGATCAAAGTCCTTGTTGTGACACCACACCGTCTCGTGTCTGACTATGATATCATTTGTAATAATATCTTACAATCCACCCCCTTGGAGATAAAAGTCCTCGTTGGAACACCACACCGTCTCGTGCCCGACTTTGATACCATTTGTAAGTCACCCCTCTTGGAGGTCAACGTCCTTGCTAGCACATCATCCGGTGTCTGGCTTTAATACTACTTGTAATGGTACCACTTTTATCCGTTATGTATCACTGTCAGTCTCACAATTTTAAAACATGTCTACTAAGAAGAGATTTCTGTTATGAATCATGACTCTCTACAATAATATGATATTATCCACTTTGAGTATAAACTCTTCCTTACTTATAAACACGTGATAATTCTCTAAATTACTAAATGAGTCACTCCCTCGTAACAATTTTCAACAGTTTTCACACTCTTACAAGTAATGTTGATAAAATGTATAATAAAAACTTTTAAATTATATTATTATTTTAAGAATATTAAAATGGTCAAATAATATGGTGTAGAAATTGGAAATGAAATTATTATTTGTAAAAAAAAGTTTATGATTGGGATATATATAAATAAATAATGGAGTAAATAGATTAAATTATAAATTGAAAACAAGAAGATGGGTAAAAGTTTAAAGATAGAAGGGCAAAAAGGGAAATAAGAAAGAATAGTTTGTTGAGGATTTGGATAAAAGGACAGGAAGTGGTAGCACTATCCAATCCAGTGCAGACAGAGCTATGTCCGACATCTACACACCAATAATAATAATAATAATAATAATAATAATAATAATAATAAATATTAACAAAATTTCTCAGTTTTATTTATTCGTTTGGAATCTCTAATAAATTTCAATTGTTTCTCTAAAAAATTTGAATTTTCAAATGTTAAATTACAATTTTATCCATTGAATTCTTCAAAAATACAAATTTAATTAGTTAAAATTTATGGTTTAATTAGTAAAAAAATTGGATAAAATCTGAAGATTAGGATGGCAATTTAAAATATAAAAATAAAAAATGGAATTAGGGGTTAAAGTGGAAAATCACTGTACAGCTGTCGTTTTGTGGAATGTACAGCGCAGCAGTTTCCAGTTGCGGTCACTGCGCTGTGCGACGGCACTGTAATTGGTTGGTTAAAAGCGCTTTTGCTTTGCATTTTAAATTTTATTCTTTAAAATAAATAAATAAATAAATAAATAAATAAATCAAATGATCTTTCTGTTACTGCAAATGCCAAATCCCAGTTTCTGTTTGTTTGTCGTAAGCGATCAAGGAATTTATAGTGAAACGTCATGTCGACTTGACCAGTAAATTATAACCAAATTTCAACTCAATTCAATACGTAATCTCTCTATATTATTATTACTATTTTTATTTTTTAACTTTAAATTGTTCCAAAAAATTAATGGTGGGCCTTCTGATTGTACACATTGGGCTCGGCCCGTCTCCATAAGTTGGATTCGGCCTAAATGGGCCGCTTTGTTTGAAAGTATTTTCGGCCCAAATTGTCCCAAGAAATAGAACCCAACCATGGTTAATTGGAACCACATGTTCTATTTTGAGAGTTTCGACATACAGCACCGTAGGTTTAAATGATTTTTGAATTTTTTTAGTGCATTTCCTTTATTTTAAATAATAGGCTAATATAATCGAAAATCATTATAAAAACACCCGAAAACATTTCAATGATTACTAGAGTCCCACGTTGATTAATTAAAAAGACGATCATGAATATATGAGTAAAAGACATTTTCTCGGTCAGTATGAAACCTTTTAGATAGACCAAAAGCGAAGTAACGAAGACTTACACTCAAAATGGATAATATCATTGTTTCTATCTTTAGTATCAGACCGACTTAAACTTTCTCGAGAGCACCGGTGGGCTCATGTAGGTGGGTTCAAGACAATATCAAACCAATATTCGTGAGAACACCAATAGGCGTGCGTGGGTTCAAGACTTAAGCTTTCTCTCCTATTTTGGAGCTTTTCAACAAATGAAATCAAAAGCCTGTTTCTTTCGTGCTCGAGAGCGAACCCAAAGATATACTCGTACTTTAATCTTAACTTGATCACATCAATAGAATCCTCTACTTCGTTTTTCTTGTTGGAGTTGCACACTAATAAATAAAGAACACTATCTTCATCGATATGTATTTTTACCATCATACACATTTGATCATTAATAAATTTACATTCATAACTTCAGAGATTTTCATTAATTTTCTTTTCCAGTTGAAGTTGTCTGGTTGGAACAATGGCAGAGCAAGGGAGAGGTAAGAACTTTGTTCAACATGGAGGAGATAATATACAGAGGGTAATGGGAAGTGGGTTAAGCCATCTTTGAAATGGAAATGACTAAAACACAGTAAATATGTACACTAAGGGGTATGTTAGAAAAGAACAAACCTTGCCTTGGCTGGAGCTTGGGAGAAGAACATGTCAGCTGATGCTGAAGTATCTGGGATCATCTGGAAAATGGTACTCCACCTTTAACTGTCATCACAAATTAGAGCAAAAAGAATGAACAAACAGACAGATAAGTAACAGCAGCTCAGCCAAGATATCAGCATATGTATGCAGCTTCAAGCTGAATCTGTACGTGTGTGTGTGTGTGTGTCGAGATGCAAAACGACGTAGATAAATGGAGGAGGCTACTGGTTAACCATTACCTTGCCCTCATCGGAATCTGAATGGCGTTGAGGGAAGACGACCCGCATGTCGTTGTATAGATAGAATTTTCTTTCACCATCTGTATCCAGGTTAGGCTTGTTTTGGTCGGAGACTGGCTCGGATTTGGATTTCCGAGATGATCTAGAAGATTTTTTTGGTAACGGACAAAGGAAACGGAGGTGAAGAGCGTAGCGGAGAGCGCCAGCAGGATTCTCATTGACCTTCAGTTTCTTGTCATTTTCACAGCAATTATCAACCCAGCAGCCATCCTTCTGATCAGGCCCCCTCTGGTACTGATTCTCAACACCTAGAGAAGTAGCATCTGTCTTTTGGTTATCGAAAAACCGCTCTGACCCGTCCCCATTATCAGAGCCTTCTCTTCGTCTGTTTCCATTTTTCGCACTGTCCCCTTCGTGTCCAGTATTATCAGAGCCTTCTCTTCGTCTGTTTCCATTTTTCGCACTGTCCCCTTCGTGTCCAGTAATAATTCCATTGGTTTCTGTAATGTTCTTGCTAGCCACTTCGGTATCACCTCTTTGGGAGGGTAATGTCGAATTATCCGCCATTTTATTGTCGTGGTCGACCTTCCCTTCTTTCGACTGCATAGAAGCTGAATTGGAGGAAGCTAGAGTACCCTTCTGGCGCAAGAAGGTCTAGTTTTCAGAACACAGAAAACACGAACAAAATTAGACAGTTGTACAAAAAGAAAAAACGTCAAAAAACATCAGTTCGATATCGAACACTACAGAGAGGTGATGATAAATGAAAACAAAAAGCAGCATCGAGATTAATGTTCACCACCTTAGTGCCAGCAGGCATGTCGCTCAAATCGTAATTGCAGAGAAACGTGTGCAATGGAGTCTTCTCGGGATTGCTGAGAACCTGTGAAAAAGAAACTAAATCATACAGATCGTTCTTTACTCGCATATGCTCGTTCAATTGCAGCCAAGTTACGTATCAAATGCATAACGTGCACAACTTTGCATTACAATTTAGATATTACATCAATCAAGCACTAAGGAAACATACAATTCGATTCGTATCTCGACAGAAAAGGACTAACCAACTTACCAGTTGAACACGCCCTTTCATAGGAACCCGAAGACGGCTCTTCACCGTTTGCAACTCATCGTTGCTCTGAACCTGTTTGGATTTCTTATCTCTGTACTTGTTTAGTAAGGAACTTTTAGCAAGATCAATGGATGCATAATATAGTAAGTAGCGATCTCCATCCACACTTGCTACTGAAAATGGCAGCTTCTGGGAATGTGGTGAGAAGTTCCCTCCAGTAATGCTTAGAACAGCTAGAAAACCATCAATTTGCTGTGTATATAATGCATAAGTAACAAGTAATCAAGTCAAGAACAAAATCTTATACATCAATTCAGAACTGGAATTATGCAGCAGAATACTAACCTGACACAGTTTGCCAGATAAGAATCGACCGGATAATAATGACTCCTCGAATGAACCAACCAACGATCTCCTTACAGAAAGTCCACTCAAACTCCTAACAAAGCGCATGCTCCGGGAAGTAGGGACCGAATCCTGAGACATAATCCAACGAGCACTCTTGGAACTTTCCAAGGAGGATGGTCGAAACTCTTTCGCCAAAAGAACATCTTCAAACGATTTCATTTCCTCTTCATAAGATTTTTTGATATCGCCAAGAAGTGAATGATAACCGACATTCTCTTTCTTGATGTTTCTGCATCTTCCTGCATTTTTCATTCTCTCTGAAATCTTTGGACCAAGAGGTGACAGAGAAAGAGGTCCCATAGACACCATCTCAGGAGATAGACTTCCAGAATCGTCGTGGGTTCTTATGCAACTCAACTTACTGAGTTCATCATGACCTGGACAAGATAAAATGTCGTCCCGAGCAAGAGAGTGCTTATTTTCTACACTTAAAACCACTGATTTCACGACACCACTGTCATACAGCAATTTTTTCTGTTCTAATAAGCCTGCTAGAGATCGGGTTTGCAAGGTAAAATCATTTTTGCTTCCAACATGAGCTTTCTTGAAATCATGGACAGCAGCAGAAGTTCTTGAGTTTTCAGATATCGAGGAATCGGTTTTTCTGCTATCAATGTCCAACGGGTCACCCTTAAACTGGTCTGGAAAAAGCATGCTGCTCAGTGGAGATAACAGCCGCTTTCTGACTGCTGAACCACTGGATTCATGTTCGTTGATCCTAATCTCGGCTACCTTTTCATCCTTTCTAGAACTAGTTTCCCCCGACACGAATCCCACTATCCTAGCAACAGGCTTATGGCTCTCTCGTCCACATTTAGAGTTAAGCCAGCAACCATCATCCATAGACCCAATTTTCGGTCCATGATAATTGGAAGCATTTTCAAATCCCCCACCAACCATAGCTAAGTTCCCACGAAAATTTGGAAGCTCCATGTAGAAGTTTCTCTCGGAATCCCCGGAGGAAGAGTACGGTGTACTCTCATCACACCTGCTCGAGCCTCCATTAAAGCTTCCAGTCAAATTGCAGGAACTCACATCGTTAAAACATGGAGGGCTCTGCAGAAACATGCTCAATGAGCCTGCTGGTACCTCCTCAGTTTTCGCACTGATGGGGACTTGTGGCAACCCCATGGTCGATCTTTCCAGAAACTAACTCGTATATTTCAAATAGGATTTCACTCAGGTTCCTTCTCTTTTTTTCAATTACATATATAAATTTTCTTTCCTTCCGAGTGCGTGTTGAGGGAGGCTTACTCTACCAAGGTTTCTAATGGACGATCATCTACCTTAAAGCACTATGGTTTTAAATTCTTAACTACTGATGCTTATTTGTATCCTGATGAAAGAAGAACAACCAAACAATTACAATTCCGAGATCTAAATATAAGCCAATGCTATGTATCTTCCAAATGTATCCATGATCTAGCCATACCCTCATCCATGCTCATGGAGTTTGTCACAAACAAAATCAAGCAGATGTGGGATATCCAAAGTTCATAATGAGCAAAGTTCTTCCGACCTCCATTCAAATAGACATCCAAAGACATACAATTCGTCATTGCCAACTGAACGAGTAAGCACCCCTGAAAATGATATGAACAATGATTAGTCCCTTTGTCAAAATCTAACACATTCACTTTAACCTTGCATCTCTATAGCAGCACAACTTTTTTTCTGTGTAATTAATGGTTATAACTGATAAGATGATCGTCGACGATCTTCGATAAAGATATGATCTACTGGAAGAATGTGGGACAAAATGCAGAATCCACCATATATGAACACAATGCAAGAACCATGGACGATACAGCAAAAAGAAACAAATTCACAACCCCTCCATTACACCAAAACAAAGCATTTCTTGAGTAAAGATCTACACGAGATTGTCCATTTCATAAATAAACACCAACTCAAATAGCAGAATCGAACAACCAAAACGTCTAACAGGAAGATGATTCGAAAAAGGAGCAGTTACTTGTACGATATCCATAACCCATTCAACGCAATAGCATTATTTCTCTGTTCCTCTTTTTAAAGTTATTCCATCCTTCAGTGATTAAGAAGAAACACAGCCAGAAAAAAGGAACCACGAAGGAAATTTCCATCTAAACTCAAAAGTCTAAAACCACAGCTCCTCAGCAGCACACATAAATGACCAAACAAAAACTAAAAACACAGTTATCAGAAGCTCGATCACCCAAAATCATGAACAGAAACAAAAACTTAAACGTTTCAGTAAGAGAAAATCGAAACAAACACATCGAGTAAAAGACGCACCAATTAGCTGTCGGGTGAAAGAATCCAGGAGAAAAATCATCTCCGAACAAAAAATCAACACCTCCAGATCGAGAATCCCGATTATTCACCGATTAAACAGAAGAAAGAGCAAGAAATGGGAGAGAAAATGAAGGAAAGTGAAAAGGGGGTGTTTAACTGGAAATGGTGATGGAAGAGGAGAAGAAGGAAGAAGTGATAATGGGTATTAGGCGAAGGAGAAAATGAGTTCAATTTTGTTCTCTCTCCCATGTTTATAATCCCAAAACACGCCATCGTCATCTCATCACCATCATCGCCCCATCCCAACTTGGCCACCGCCATTTCTTAATCTCTAATATTCTTACAAATCCCATTTCTTCTATCTCTCCCCTCTCTACTTTTATTTTAAATTAAAATACTTTTTTTTTTTTTTTAATTTTCCTATATTTTCGTATAAATGTTCAAATCTTTTTTAATTTTTATCAATATTAATTAAATAATAACCATTGATATGTAGTTTCAAATGAGGTAGTTTGTTAAACTCAAGAGATAGTGATCAATTCGGGCTTCAATTAATATTAAATTCGATGCAATATTGAGACGAGCTAAAGTAATATAACGTACCTTTTTAAATGAATGACTTCCATTATTTATAAGGGAGCAAATTTTTGAAACTTATGTGTCATGTTTCTAGTCGTCTGTGTCTAGTAATCGGTGAATTCTCCACTAATAGTCTTTATATTTAGGTCGCTCGACTAAACGAGCTTATGTTCCATAAGTCGACCTAAAATTTGTTCATTTTCACCTTGTGTATTATGAATTAGGCTAAAATATATGAAATAAATAAATATATATATATATTATAAATAAATATATTTTTTTTAATTTTCAAAATGGCAAATTATCTACTTATTAAAATTTTATTTTTATTAAAAAATAAATTTTTTAATAAATGCTATAACAACTTAGTTGACTTCATTATTTTAAATAAAAGTTATTTAATTTAAATTTTTATACTAACTTTCCTAATTAATAATTAATTACGTGTATGATAAATTATAAATTGTGAATTTTTCTATTTTTTATATAAAAATAAAATCCATTTTGAGTGTCTTTTGGAGATTTTCAAAGTCTTATAATTGATTTGGGTTAACTTTGAGGAATGGGACCATTTATTTGTATTAGTGGGGTGGGTAAAAATAAACTCTATTTCACATCGTCCTTTTTACTTTTTTACCCTTTCAACCTTCACTCATTTCATAGATAATAATAGATTAAATCACAAAATATATATATATATATATATATATATATATATATATATATATATATATATTGTAAATTTTCATTTTATTTTTTTAAAAATTTAAATCCATTAGAATTTTAAATAAAAACCGAGAGAGTATCATAACTATGACAATTTCAATTTTTATTTTAATTTATCATGCATAATTTTCTTCTAAATTTATTACCATTTTTATATTTTAAAATTGAAAGATAATATTACCAATTTTGAAATATTAAATGTTTTTTAAAAATAATAACATAGTAATTTTTATGTCCAAATAATATAAACAAATAAGGTAATAGGATTTTTTTAAATCTCCTATTAAGTAAAAATAAAATAATAATCAAGAATTTATTAAACATAAAATTAAAATATTAATATTTACACAAACTTTTAAAGTAAAATTGTAATTTGTGCTGTTTTTAATATAAATATTATTTTTTTTAATAAAAAAATTATTTTTAATCTTATTGTAAATATAATTAATTTGAACAAAAAGAAGGCGAGCATTTAGGTGGATGGTCATAATAATAAATGAACAAATAGCCCAAAAGATTGACACATTCTCATTGATGTCTTTTTCTTTTTTTTCTTTTTTATTTTTTAAATTATTATTTGTATATTAATTATCTTATATAAAATAATTTAATTAATAAATAAATTGGTTTCACGTTTGAATATATTATGACTAATGGATGCATCTAAAACCCTTTCATTTCGAATTATATGGAAGATGGTAACGTAGAATTGTAATTATTTCATAGTGTATATAATAGAATAATTATATAAATTAGACCAAATTATAAAATTAATTTTTTTAATGTTTTTTTTTTTAAATAGTATTTAATAAAATCATCTTATATAAAATATTAAAAATTTAGAATTTATCAAAAAAAAATTAGACTCAAAATTACTGGAACACTCTTAGAAGTGCAATTATCAAATAGACATAAACTTCAAAATTTAATGGCTAAATTTGTAATTCAACAATTTAAAAAATACCCGAACACAAAATTAAAAATTCCAAGTAAAAAAATTTTATACTTTTTTTTAGAATTCAATAATATATATCTCAAGGTTTAGGGATAATTCAACGTATTAATTAAAAGAAAAAAAAGGAATATTTTAATTATTTTCTGACCATAAAGTGAAAGAGGGGAAATAAACAAACGAACTAAAACTTTTAAAAAAAGCCTTTTCTTTTGTAATTGTTTAAGCCTTTTCTTTTTTCTTTTATCCTTTTTATAAATTAGTTAAAAGGCCAATTGTGTCTTTTCCATCCTTTTGTATATGTTTAAGTACATGTCCGCACCTCGAGTTTAATATTATTTTGGTCTCAATACAATAGTCATAATTTCAATAAAAAAAATTTAATTTATTTTTAAACTTTTAATATTTTTTTTTTCTTCTATACATTTTAGAAATATATTTCTATTGTGTTTTGGAAATTATTAAATTTAAATATTATTCTTGTATTTATAGAACTTGAAATATGTTTATATTAACCCATTAATACACATACTAAAATTAATTTGATAAAAATGGAATAAATGTAATATTAAATATTGTTGAAAGGGTTGAGAAACCAAAATGTTATTTGAATTTTTTTTTTTTTATAAAGTTGAATAAATATATAACTTTTAACCTTTTTTAGTTAAAAATAAATAAATATTTTACTGACAAAGTGGTAAAACAATGTCACCCAGTTGTCATACTAGGCACAGTTCTTTTGTGTGTCTTTTGATGCAAATGCCTCTCCTTCCTCCCATTGCACATCAAAATCCAACGAGAAAGGTGAGATTCGAAACCTCGATAGAATATCTAGGACTCGTCTCAAACCTTAAAAAATGCCCGAAAAGGAAAAACCTAAACTACTAGTGATGAGTTTGAGCTGTTACAAATTGTATCAAAGCTAGTGGTGTACCAGTAAAAATGTTGGATTTCGGAGGGGGTTGAATTGTGAGATCTCACATCGATTGGACAGGGTGGAAATCGGAAGTTTGAAAGGAAAAATCCAAAAATGACAATATTCGTTAGCAATTACTTAGACACCATTTCCAGCACACATAACTAGTCGACCCATAGAAGATAGTTGTCTTAACTCTTCAGTTTGGAACAAAATGGCATGACATGGCATGTCAGGTACTTGTGGCTGATTATATGAAAGATTTTGTTAGAAATCACAACGCTACACAATAGTATGATATTATCTACTTTGAGCAAAAACTCTCATAGTTTTACTTATGGCTTCCTCAAAAAACTTTAGTACCAATGGAGATGTATTTCTTACTTATAAATCCATAATCATTCTCTTAATTAGCCAACGTGAGACTCCTTCAACAATTTTCAATAGTATTACCGAACATTGCCCATGGACATTCAGTACGTGTCCTCACGTACAAAAATCTAGAAAACGGAGTTAAAAAAAATGTAACAACCTAGATCCACTGCTAGTAGATATTGTCCTCTTTGGACTTTCACTTTCGAGCTTCCCCTCAAGGCTTTAAAACGCGTCTACTAAGGGAAGGTTTCACACTCTTATACCAATGTCCACATCACAGAAAAGGTGCTACTAAACTGCCCGTTTTGACTAAATAACTTCTGAGAAGATATAACAAAGCACAACCTACCTAAGATGCCCGAAAACCATGCACGCTATGCTATGATATGCTTGCTCAATGTTGACCTAGTTATGCTATGTAATGCGGCGAGGGATGGAACTTTGTATGTATAATGCCATGGAGGTAAACCTTAAGAACTCCATGCACGCTATGGTTATGTACCTGGTGCACTCCCCCGTTATGCTACTGATGGTATGGACGCGTATGTTCGATATTGTGTTCACCATAATATCATGCAGGCCCTCCTTTGTCCGTGGCGTCCGGTACCGTATGTCATACATACTCGACCAAGCCAAGCCCAGGGAGTTCGCTTGCGAGCTCGCCTGGTGGGCCCACAGTCACACACGTGAGCCATGTGTGGTAAAATACCTTGCATCCACCCCCGCCCGGACAAAGCAAACGCCTAAGGCCATGGGAAGGAATGGAAGACAGACCCCTCTCTCAGCTTCTTTCTTTTAACACGGGCGACATGTATGGTTATTGTGTGCGACATGTATGTGTATTGTGTGCGAAGGTGTATTGTATGTGACATGTAGGTGTACTGTGTGCAACTGCTTGTATCAGGATGTATGATTATATGCTTAACCCCAACAGTGGGGCGACTTACTTGGGTATTTTATATAATACTCGAGCCACGTGCTACTCATATTTTCAGGTAAGGGCAAGGCTCCTATGTACGTCTGACGGTGGATGATGCGAAGGGCCATGGAAATCTTGAGGAGAGTTTGTAGTGTCGTAGACGCCTTATTGAATTCTTTTGGGTTCATAGTTTTGCTATTGTTTCTAGTTCTCTGTTGATTATTTCTAGGGTAGGTTGTCGTTATTATTTTCTTTAGGTATGAATGGTTTATATTAATGAATGCATTGTCGTTATTAAGACTATCTTACGTGAACTCTTGTCCGGTTGATTAGGCGAGTATAAGGTAACGTACTTAATTAGGTAGAGAAAATTAGGGCGTTACAAAAAAATGAAACATAAACAGATTACAGAGTTACTCCAGAGGAAAAATGGACACAAAACTTGAACTCACAGAATGCAGTTCCGTCTGAAACAACGCAATTCGTTGGTAAAGATCTGCAGCGCTGAATAGCAGAAGAATGCAAAAGTGGTAAACAAATACGAAGTGGAACTCTGTGATTACGACGAACAGAAGACGGCAGGGACAAGAAGCAGCTCGAATTCAATGCCATTGCTTCAACTTTTGGAAAGTGGATATTGAATTGGAGATCAGTTAGTGGGGAGGTTGTCGTCGCCATGACAAGCACGACAAGCACTCTAAGGATGGTAGGGAAGGAAATGCAAATTTGGGAATCAAATTAAAGTCGTTAGAGTTTAAATTTAAAGTAGACAATATCATACTATTGTAGAGAATCATGTTCATCTAACACGTGTCACGGAATGAATTCAGGAATCAATTCAATTCATAAAAGTTATAGGATTGATCATGTCAAGCTTAAATGATTCTAAACATGCCACCTAAATTACATAGAATTACATCAATACGCTTTTCCACGTAAAAGAAAATTGGTCGTTTTGTTGTTGGTTACGACCACGTGAAGTACTCAATAAACTCCTCTTTCATCTTTCATTATTGATGGATTGGTTCATATCAATAACATAAGAACACAGTATTTTTTAAAAAATAATTGCAATTTATTAATGATTTACACGGATGTTTGCATTTGGTAGAAAAAAAATAAAATGGTATATGAAATGAAATTGAATGAACAAATAAATTAAATGTTTTATATGTGTGTGAAGGAAATCAAGACGCTCTTGCACATAGCTGCTTATTAGAAGTGTCGTCATCTAAAGAAGAAAATTTGTCGTTTTGTTGTTGGTGACGACCACGTGAAGTACTCAATAAAGTTCTCCCTTCACCTGATTTTCCACGAAGTAATGTCTTCTTCGCACCTTTTCCTCTTCGTTCTTTTTTCTCTTCCTTCTATTCGATTCGGAGTAGAAATCCATTAGAATTTTAAATAAATACGGTGGTGATTTGGAGTGATGCAGGATTGTACGGGTCTCAACTTTCAATTTTTATTCATCGTTTTAATAGATCTTTACGACATAAAATAGAGATTGAAAATGGGAAAGTACCTTCTCCTTTTCTAAATTCAGTGTTCGTTCGTTTGGCCACATACCATGATCTCCTTCGTAGTTATCTGTTGCATAATAAAATCAATGGTTATTGCAAGCACAACGACCAATTTCGTTACCAAAGTTTGAAATTGATTGGTCGAGTACATTACCTTCACTTCCTATACTCCTTGATCTCGATTTAGATCCAATGCAATACTCCCTAAAACTCGGCGATCCTCCACGAAAAATCTTACGATAATTTTGATCATCGTTAGGATCTTCAAAATTGATTTGAGTCCTTGTTTCCATTTGTCGATCGTCCTCTTCTACTTTTTCTCGCTTCACATTCACACTCATCTTCACCATCTTCTCCCCGGCTACCTCTCGGTCCCAAGAAGAGCCATCGCCTTTTCGAGACTGCTTCTCAGACGAAGAACCTTCTTGAACCGATGGCTTGGGTTCACTGGTGAAGCAATTGGTGGTGGAAGACTTGTGGGAACGAGGAGGATTGTGGGGACAATTGGCAATTGCTTCGACTACCTCCTTAGGTTCGAACTTTGAGATTCCGCAACCCATCGAGAGGAGTCGAAGGAAATGATGTCGGAAAAATGAAGGGATTACTCTCTCACGTTTATTAAAATCTAGCATGGAAAAACACACGAACCCACAAACAGGTTAAAAATGGATATATCTAAATGAGCGATTCAAATTAGTTCTTCACCATTTCTATGGTATACATGGAAGTTTTAATGATTCCTCCCAATTTAACCGTTGTTAAGTTAGTTAAAGCCGTTGAAAAAAATGGTTGAACCTAACAAAAAGGAACCAATCCATTTGACCTCGACCTCGACCAACCTCAACATTTTTTTATTATTTTTTATTTTGTCTATCACCCTCTTTTATTTTAGTCAACTAAAACATGTTTCAACCGTTAGATATGTGTCATCCATTAAGAAAACAAATTTTAATATTATGTTTAATAGATTTTTGAGTTTCAAAAAAAAAAAAAAATATATAAATTTGTTAGACATTTATACCCATTTTATTTTTTAATTTTTTTTAAAACATTTTTATATAAACATTTTCATTAACCTTAAAAATATTAATATGGGCAATAAATATTGGTAATGTAATATTTTTAAAATTTAAAATTTTTATTTAATAAATCTTAAAATTAAAAAAAAAAAAAAAGTCTAATAAGACATTAGTTTTCACTTTTGTGCCAAACATTATATTTTTTTTATAGGTTTAAATCTTTTAAATGTATTAATTATAAAATATAAAATTAATTTTAATATAATTCCTTTTTTTTTTTTTTCTTTAACTCATTCAAATATGTTTATATAACTTGTTTGTTTATATATATATATATATGTATATCTATATGTATGTGTGTATGTATATATATAACTCAAGTTAAGACAATGAGTTAAAGACATAGTTATATATATACAGACATATATATACATATATATATAGATATATACATACACATATATATATATATATATATAGATATATATACATGAATGATTAATTTTAACTATGAAAGCAATTTTTTGAAAATATATTGGAGTTGTGTTACAAATTTTAATTATATATTTAAAAATAAATAGTTAACATTTTATTTTTAACTATTCAGCCGTGTTCATATTCTGTTTCCTTTAAGATCATGTTCCAATCTCTCTCACGTTGCCAACGTTCAGCGGGGCCCTCTTATTCAGAATCTAACAAATCTCTTTCACTCTCTGTTTCTGCTCCCATCCTTCATCCATCTCTCTTCATTTTTTGGTTATCGATCTCTCTCGGTACGTACTATCTGCTCTCGTCTCTCACGCTCTCGCTTTCACGTTATACTCTCTACTGCTATCTTCTCACAGTGGCCAACGGTTGCGTTTTCTATCCAGGTATCTCGCTAACGATCGAGAGCAACTTGGAATTCGTAGGGCCTGGATCGCACCGATTGGATCTTCTCCGGTTAGATTAAAAAATTCGGCAAAATGAATGACGCAGATGTTTCCAAGCAGATCCAGCAGATGGTGAGGTTCATTCGCCAGGAAGCGGAGGAAAAGGCCAACGAGATCTCCGTCTCCGCTGAAGAAGTACGTCTGCGTATTTTTCACTATTTTCTTCAATTTTTACTCGTTTCCGCTTCTAGATGGCCCGATTTTACTTTATATTTTTCTTGAATTCTAATCGTTGCCGAAAAGATATAGTTATCGGCGTTGCTCTATGTTCAGTTACGTATGCCTTGCAAATTCTAGGTTTCTTATGTGCTGTACATTTGTTTTTCTACATTGACTATTGAACGGAAGGAATGGAAATTTTTTCTTTCTCTTGTAGGAATTCAATATTGAAAAGCTGCAGCTGGTTGAGGCAGAGAAGAAGAAGATGAGGCAAGAGTACGAGAAGAAGGAGAAGCAAGTTGAAATTCGGAAGAAGATGTAATTATCTGAAATTTTCCCCCATAATTCGTTAATTACAGTTTCATTATTTATGCTTCTTCGTGGCTTGGTTTGTTAAGGCGAATTTTCAATTGCTGGGAAGATCTTTTTCTTTGTTTCTTTCTGCATTTGTTATAATCTGAAAAGGTTGTAATAGCCGAATAACATCTTCGTGTAATTAATGCTTTATTCCAGCGAGTACTCCATGCAGCTCAATGCTTCTCGTATCAAAGTTCTGCAAGCTCAGGATGACGTAGTAAATTCTATGAAAGAGGCAGCATCAAAAGAACTTCTGAATGTAAGCCAAAATGAACATGTCTACAAAAATCTTTTGAAGGATCTCATTGTTCAGGTTTGTAAATTCCTAATATCATCCACATTAAAGTATTTACTGATTCTTTGATTTAGTTAAACTGAAAGCCTCAAAATTTGCTGCATATGTGATTGTTGGCTGGTACTTTTAGTTGTCTGTTTATTACACTTCAGAGTTCATCGTGGGAGCTACTAAATGTTTATTATTTATGAGGTTATAAGTTCACAAAAGAGAATTCTACCCAGAAGATTTGTGTTTGATAATAAGGAACTTTAAATTATCCAAAACAAATCTCTGTTTCCCATAACTCCCACTGGTTAAAATTCTTGTCTGTTAGACATCATACCGAAACACACATCATCCTGATAAGTGATGATTGAGTTTTCTTTTCTCCATCTCTTTGTTGATGGTTGCTGCTTAGAATGCATTATGGAGGTTGATCTTCCCGTTAAGATTTTTGCTAGTATGGTTGCCATGGGATAAATATGCTAGTTGTGTTATGCACTACCTTAAGTTTGTTTCTTATTTTATAGAGCTTGCTTCGACTGAAAGAGCCAGCTGTTTTATTGCGATGCCGTGAAAGTGATGTCCATTTGGTGGAGTCTGTGCTGCGTTCAGCAGCCGTGGAGTATGCAGAGAAAGTAAAAGTTCACGAGCCAGAAATTATTGTTGATCATGTCCATCTTCCACCTGGTCCAAGCCATCACCATCATCACGGTCTTTTTTGGTAAGCTTTCCTTCTAATTTTTTAGGATTTCATATACAAAGTTCATGCTTCTGAAAACTTTGTCTGTGATTGGCGTCTTTCTATATCACGGTTATAATTTATTTCAGCGTTGGCAAATTTATGTATTTAGAGATTGCTAGATAACTTTTGCATATTTTGCCTGACGGGCACCTTATTTGTCAAGGTGGTAACTAATTACTCCTGCCCTGGGGACAGGCGCCCATTTCTTTCTTTTTTTTTTTTTTAGGATAACTAATTACTCCTGCAGTTTATTACAATTTGCAGATTGTACCTTTGTATTTAGACAATAATTTTAAATAGCCCATTGTTTCATTCCCAAATTTCTGTATTAAACCATTCTAATGAAGTTTATCGTTAGTTTTGTTAGAGATAGTACGAAATGACATAAGCCCAGGTTTACTGATTCTGTTAAGAATTCACAATCATCATGAATTTGAACTACGGGAGTGTTTAATATGAATTTAAAAATACAAGGTTACAATGTATGAAATTAAACCGAAATATAATTTACAATTTTCCCTTTGTAAGTTGTATAAAAGCTTTGTATCATAAGGTTGTTGCCTTTTGGTTCTCTACACAACTATATGTATAAACAATTCTAATATGTAGTTTTGATTGTTCAGCTCTGGAGGTGTAGTATTGGCATCTCGAGATGGGAAGATTGTCTGTGAGAACACCCTTGATGCAAGGTTGGATGTTGTGTTCCGTAAAAAACTTCCAGAGGTACTTCTTTTTTCAACTATACCCTACTGCCCATTATTGGGCACTAATTACATCACCAAATGCTAGTGGGTATCTGAAAAGCTCATTGTCATAACTCATTTTTAGAGAGGAAAAAAGATCTACATTTAGAAGATTTTTTATTTTGCTCGAGGACAAGTCATAATTTACTGTGTTGTTTTCTTGGTTCATATAAATGCTCACTGCTCTCACTGAGTATTAAATATCTAATACAAATTAAGAAAAAAATTGTTGCACTTCTCTACAATTTGGAAGAATCTATAAACTATAACAGCACATATTCAAAAGATAAAGAGAAAACGTAAGACAAGATTTTAGGTTTTGATCAACTGCATTGTCACGACTGCATCTGTATGTTCCTCAGTACCTTATTAATTTACAGATTGGCCCACTTAAATATTGCTCAGGATGCATAGTATAACTTTTGGTTAACTAAGCCTAGCTTGACAATAAAGAGATCGCACGTTTAACTTTTTATTGTACGAATATAAGCTACAACACGATTCCTTTACTTTATATTGGCTTTCGAAGGTGCATTTTTATGCTCCTTCCTCACCTTTTCTTAACCTTTAGAAAGATACAAATTCTTTATTCGAGGATTTTATATTTCTGATAAAAAAAAAAAAAAAAAAATACACAAATACATTATGTGGGTCTGTTTGCAATGTCTTTCTTTTATCACTACTTTACCAAGCGGTAGTTCCTTTATCAGGTCATCTTTCGTCAATGGATATTTTGTTGCACCGCTTTTGTCACAATGTTGTTCACAATTAGAGTACTTACAGCTGCATTTCTCATTGGCAGATCCGAAAAAGCCTTTTCAGTCAAGCTGATGCATGATGGACTAGATTTCGACTCTATCACGGTGCTTCCTGTGAAATAATTTATGAGTCCAAATTATTTGGTATTTGATGGGAATTATATGTCCCAAATGTCGCATATCAATAAGTATTACATTCTTTGATTTTCTTTATCTGATAGTTACTATGTTCTTGGGTTGAGCTCTACGCGAAGGTAGGTGCCCCTATCGACTCGATAATATCTCAGGTATCAATAATATTCCTGCTTGATATATTGGTTTCCTTCAAGTCGGGATGTCATTTTTAGTCTAGTATATTTTTGTATGCACATCATTCAGACTATCATCCTTAATAATGTAATGTGACATTGTTGCATCAAGTAAGTTATTTCACTTGCATTAAGTTTTGTAGACTCCTTTCAGTTAAATACACAATGTCTTGATTCTCATTTGTGTAGTTAAGAACGATAGTTATCTGAATTTGATTTCCCCCTTTGCTTGAATTGGTTCTTTTGAGTCAGAAAATGCCCATATGGTTATCAGCCGGTTTCATGGCTGATTGAGGGATTAGATTGTATTTGTTAGATGAATACGACTCTCTACAATTGTATGGTATTGTCCACTTTGAGTATAAGTATTCGTGGTTTTGCTTTGGGCTTCTCCAAAAGGCACACTCTCCACAATGATATGATATTGTCTATTTTGACCCAAGCCCTCGTGGATTTGCTTTGGGGATAGATTCCTGGATTATTATAAACTCATGATTATTCCTTAAATTAGCGGATAGTATTAACTTGAATGACTTTTTTTGTTTCCTCTTTAATTTGGGAAGTTGAGATAAAAAATTTATTTTTAGACGAGAACTAGTGAATAATGTTTTAACTGTATTTTTTTTTTTCTTTACGAATTTTTCCTTTCATTTGTTTTCAAGGGATGCCTCTTTTTTAGAAGTTCGTTCAGTCCATGAATTTCATTAATTTTTTTTAAACTATAGAACTAGTGAAAACAATTGTAAAAATATTTGCTATTGAGAGAATTTCATTCTTTTTGTTTTTTTACTAACGAGTTTATTTTCAACTTGAGTTTTTATTAATGCTCATTTTGGATCATTCGTGTTAATTTTTCTGTTAATTCATTTTAAATAATTAAAATAGCTGTAGTTTGATTAGCTAATTAATTTAGTTTTTGCTAATTATATCACTTACTAAAATTAATTAAAAAATCTGTCATAATTATTTAAAATTAGTTAACTAGAAAGTTTTAAAACCTAAAAACTAAATGGAAATTAACTGTATTAGTTAACTATAAAATTTTAAAACCTAAAAACCAAATGGAAATTAACTGTATAAGTGTATAAGTGTAGTACTTTGAAACTTAAACTTAACGGGACTAAGTAATTGTAGTATGCTCGGAAGAACTTTAAAAAAAAATTAAAATAAAATTTATTCCTTCCAGTACTGCTGAAAGTTTTAATTATTTAAAGTGTGTTTTGTGTAGTATATGGAGCAGTTTTTAGATAAAAAAAAAAAGAAAAAAGAAAAAAAGAAAGTGATTTTAAAGATACATAATAAATAAAAGTAGTTTAAAAGCCTTGGATTAATTTAATTTAGTTTAATTTTTAATTTTTATTATTTTTCTTTATGGATTATCTTAAAAACAACTTTAAAGCCAGTAACTAAAATCATCAAAATATGGAGTAAGAAATCAAATACGTATTTATAATTGATAAAATCACTTTGAGTGTAGTTGAACCAAATGGCTTTGTTATTTTAAATGTCATAAAAAAAAAAAAAAAACGATATTATTACATTTTTATTGATTTTTTTTTTTTTTTTTTTTTTTTTTTTTTTTTTTTTTTTTTTTTTTTT